CCTGAAGAATGGGATTCAGCATCCCGACACCTTCACATTCCCAGCCGGCAACCCCGTGCTGATCCACGCAAGGGCTGAACGGTCACTAACACAGTTGACAATTCCCCCCGACCCACTTGCAATGCGATGTAGGCTCTACTGCAGTTCATCATCAGTGCGGCCAAGACGCACAGGCTTTGCTTCCCCTGCTGCCAGTCAAGCACACCCAGTCCTGTAGTTACCCATCATCTTCACCAAACCCAAATGGCTCTAATACATCACGTCAAACTCGCTGTCATTCCATGGGTGACTAAAGAGCTCCACGTCAGCTCCCTAATTAGTCGTTTTTAAATATGCCTTAATTTTTCCAGTGATCTCATGTCTCATCTTCCCCATTTGAGATTAAACGTCAGTGTTTTCTCAAGCTGGCAGTTATCACTCTTGGCTCCAGAGGCTTCTGCTGCTGCAGACCAAGAAGGACAGAGGCATCTCAGGGCAGTGGATCAGGGCATCCTATGTAGGGTAGAAGACCTAGATCCACCTCTGATACCCCCTTGTAACCCTGAGCGTTGCTGCCACACTAAGAACAATTCCCATTCAGTTCTTTGATATCTACCCAGGAAATTTTTTAATTGTTATTTTTGCTTCTTACATTGCCCCAAGGAAATCACATCTATCCTACAAGCATTCGTGCTGGCTCAAAGGAAGGGGAAGATCACAGATCTGCTAAGCCCGCTCGCTCCAGACACCAGTCTGGCTAGCAGCCATAGAGGCAGTTCACACAGGCAAATACTGGTCAACCCAAACCAGACGTCATGACAGCTCTCCGGTGCTCCTAGTGTGCTGCACTGGAGAAACATATTTAGCTGCTCTCTTCTCCCGTACAGGAATAGCCTGGATTTGGCAGAGAGCAAGTTTTGCTCCCCAGGGCTCAGGAGGGGAGACGTTACTTCATCCACTTCCTATGGGGACAGTAACTAACCCAGTGCAGGAAAGCTCAATCTGATTGACAACTACGGAGCTGGAGGCAGACGCTGCCACATCTTCTACCTGCCCTTGAAGTAATTAATCAAGGAGCTGAGGCTGAGCTCTCCCTTCCTTGCCCTGGGTGTGCAGAGCCACAAAGAGTGCTCTGAGCCTGGGTCTGTGATCCACAGCAAACAAGCTGATATTTCCTTTAGGAGAGCTCCTGCTCAGGAACTGTCAGCCCTCCCGTAAGTTGTGTAGGAAGTCAAGGGAAAACAGGGTATTAATCTACCAAATACCCAGATGGTTCTTCAGCAGGCTTTTAGCACAAGGCTGGAGCCTTCCAGTGGGACTAAAACCACTGAGAACTAATCCTGAGCCACATGTTACCTCTTTTTCTGGGAAAGCTGCTTTCTGGGGCTCTGCACCAACGGGAGACAGGACAGTAATGAATTAGACATTCCTGCCTAAGGGCTGGCTCTTCTTGGATATGCCATCTCCTAAAACTCACATACAAGTACTGGCTCTGATCCCTCCCCTCAAAGAGGGTGAGATCCTGCCCCCAGGCTTTTGCTTCTGCATTACAGCCTCACAGAGCCACCAAAGGAAGATGACCTGCGTAATTACTCTTATTACTGACAGCAATAAAAGCATCTCAATATATAGTGTCTGTCAGCCACGCACAAGCTCACTGAGGCTTCGCTAATTACTGAAGTTTCCTGTGCTGACAAAGGGATCCCAAGGGATGCAGCAACTGATGGGAAAAAACCTGTACAGAGAACTTTCAGCGCTGCACAACAGATCTCCTAGACTACAAACATGTAGCACCTTGCCACAGGGTCCCATGGGCACTGCAGGCACCCACATACAAGCACAGAATCTGGTCTTACACCCTGAAGACCACCCATCATACCATAGTAGGTACTTCTTGGAGACAGGAGCCTAACGAGAGTCAGGATTTAGGGAGCTCTGAGCAGAGAAGTGATTCTCCTTCCACAATCCCCAGCATCTCTCCAGCACCTCCCGTCTCCGGTAGCCTCCTTTACTTGCATGGAGCATCTGCTGTAGATGTTATTGTTTCTGGGTGCTATGGGACTGATGAGTTTGTTTTGCACCTCCGGCACAACTCTGGGAAGCTGTCCCACATCTCCTTAGCCGTGTGTCCCTGAGTAAAGCTCACCCTCCCACGCCAAGCTTGTGCTATACTGTCGGCTTGCAGAGAACATTATGACTGCAGCTGATGTACAAACAGCAGCACTCAGGGCAACCAGCCTGGGCATCTCACTTGAGAATTGCTTGAGAGCTAAAAGAATATCTAAGCTTTATGAATATTGACCTGGTTCAAACTAGACTTAACTCCATAAATTTATTTTCCCACATCCACATGGGGTGGGCTAAAAGTCACCTGCAAAGGGCCAAGCCACCAACCAGACCTTCAATTAGTCCTGAGTGCAGAACCCTTTCCAAACCAGTATGTGTGCTTGGCATGCAGGCTTCAGAAACCCCTTCTGATACCATCATCTCACGTTAAGGTGATGAACAGGGATGATGAGTAGCCCAGAACATCCCAAGTCACCTTCATTTCAGGATGGGCTGGGATTTTTCACACCCAGACACAGGTGCACGGGGCGAAATGGAGGCGTTTGGACATGCAAAGCGCTGAAGGTCAAATTTTCATTGTGATTTTAGCAGCAAAGACATTTTCTTCACACTCATCTGTAAAGTTTGTAGCAACAGGACTACCAATATATGTACTGTCTATCCAGGGGACAGTACCTACATTCCTAGCCAGGCCAGTCTAAAGGATGCACAATTTAAAATCAACCAATTAATAGGCAAAGGGAAAATTGTGACTTATTCACATTGAATAGCTCCATGTTTGCTTAAGCAATGCTAGGGACAGATTTGACCCAACTTCAGCAAAAATTAAACCAATGCAACATGCACCTGATCCTGTGTAAGTCACACGAACAACAGCGTGATTTATTGAGAACTACTGCCACTTGTGAGCTGAGCAAGTCAATACAGATCCACAGCAAAGCAAGGAAAATGCCTCCCAACATCCTAAACTGCTATTTTGCTCTTAGCTCTTCTGTTTCATAATAAACAGTCTGTTGGTGGCTCTGAAAGAGCAACACAGCTGCTTTTTGTATGCAAGTCACAGGGAGTCTGACTTAGTGCAGGACAAATTAGCCAGGGCTTGCCAGGCGAGGTTGGGTAATATTGTCTGGTGCTCTGCACTACACCTGCAATAAACAGCTTTTAAGACTGATTGATTAAATGTTTTGGTTTCACTTTAGCAATTAATCTCAGCAGCCTTTTACTTATTTGTATGCTTCAAAGCTAGAGAGATAACCCCTTAATGATTCCCTTGCTCTCCTTCTCAATCCATGGTTTATTTAAAAATAACTGCAGTGTTGCACTGACAGGCAGGAATGAATCCTGGGTTCATCTCCCAGGTAGCTGCACATGTTCCTAAGAGGTCGTCCATCTCGGAGCCAGCAGATAGTTTGATCCCTGTGGTCTATCCATGCAAATCGTTTTTGCAAAGATTAACCATGGAGGAACCAGGTGTTTCAGTCCCGTAAGAACAAGACTCAGGTTTTCAAAGCAAGCCATGAAGATCCCGGCCCTGATTCATCTCTTGGTCTTTTCATTCACATAGGATAAACCCCACAGCCCCAACCTCTAGTGTAGTTACCCCTGATTTACCCCAGGGAAAGATCTAGCCCTCTGAATTTTATCCTATAGATTCTTCATATGCATACAAGTGAGGCACTTTTTGGGCTCTCTACCTGGAATTTCACTGTTTCTTTCAAGAACCAGCGTGCTCCAAACCCATGAGCTTCTCTGAGTGAGCATGAACCATTCCCTGCGAATACGTCATTAACTGTCAAATATTAAACAAAGCTGTGATAACTCATAAGGCTACAAAGAGCATCTGGAAGATGTAGGAGCATTTTTACAACTTCTGCGAACTCAAGGCAACTAAAACATTCGTTGCTGGGCTCAAGTCTCACAGTAGCACCTAGATTAGGACATCGTGCTTCCCAGGACTGAAGTTCAGTAATAGGGACAAAACAAACCTCTCTTTCACGCAAGAGAAAATACACACCAAATGCATTCATGCAACTGTCTCGTTCAGCATCACAAGATACCTCTGCTGAACTCTGCTGATCCAAGGCTGACAGAAGCATTTGAACGTCGCACCTTTTTCTTGAGTTTTTCCCACTTACTCTTAAAGCGACTTATAAAGTTGACGGTATTTCTGTGGCCTGACCTTGGTTTCTCATACCCTACTACAAATTTTACACCTATCTCGGGAGGCAGCGAGCACTTCCTGCCAAACCCCAAGAGCCCTCAAGTCCTGGCTACTTGAGTCCTGATGTTGTGAAGCGTGGGATGTAGATGGGTAGAGGGCAACACAGAAAAAAGGGTCTGTGGCAAGACAATGGAGAAGCACATATGGGACAGAGGTGCGTAAGAGGCAGTGAGCGTTGGAGAGAGTCTGATAGAGACATGCATTTCCCATGTTACACTTCAAACATAGCATGGTCTAGGAATAAGACTTCACACATGCATACACACAGTGGAGAATCAGTATTTCTCCTCCTCCCTCTCAGCAACTCCCAGCAAAACAGGATTCCAAAATCTCATTCCTCTTTGATAGGATCTACTTCAACAATCCCCTAATCACCAACTATTTTTCACTTTTGAGGTAAAGCTGGGACAGGGGAGGTACACCTGGAGGGGGAATTAAGGTGGCTGGGACAATAGGGAATGATGGTAGATGACTGTCACGGGGGGTGCTGGCTGGAGACCACCTTTCTGACACCAGGGTCCTCCAGGGATGGACCAGCACACAGGACAGACAACAAGGACAGATTCAGCCTTTGCCCCATATCTGGTCACTTCTAAGCACTGAAACATGCAGAGGTTTGGAAAGAAAAGGTTTTAGAAGTTGTCTGCAAAGCAAGCTTAACATTATTCTGCTTAGAAAGGGCTCCGTTTTGCAGGATGCAGAGAGCATGCACCATGCAGTGCCCAGCACTTACCCGTGTCATAGTGAACTATCAGGGATCTGGAATGATCCCCAGTCTTCAGCGGGTGAAACTCCACTGTTACTTGCATGGTGTCACCAATCCCAAGAGTCCCGATGGAGGGATCGACAGAGAAAGGGCTGCAACACAAAGAGAAATCAGGACTATTGTGGGAGATTTGGGGACTATATTCCTTTGGCAGTCGAGTTCACTTCAGCTCACTTGTGCAAGCAAGGAGCAAACAAACCACAGTCAGCAGAAGAAAAACAAAACATACAGGATCAGAAACAGAGCTACTGACTCTCGCTTCTGAAGAGATCCAGTCCTCAGAAGATCCTATGGTATAAAGTGACCTCGTCTCCTCCATACGCTGTATCTAGTTCTCTGCAGTGAGGCTCAGGAGTCCGACTGCTAGCAATACAACCAGAGAATGGTTTTTGAAGAGCACAGAGATGGTAAAAGCTATTTGCATGCACAACTTGACACCGACTTCCTTGGGAATCCGTCTTTTCCTGTCACCTATAAACCTCAAGAGATGCAAATGTCAAGGCAATACCTGTTCCAATGAGATTATAGCCTAGAAATCAGACAGGGAGAATAAAAGTCTTTCTTGAAGACCAGAGAATTATTATGGTTTAATTCGCAGAATTCATTTTTTACCTTGAAAACATCCTGGTTTAGTCTAAGAAAGGGCACATTTATCAGCATTTCAATGAAAGCTGCTCTAAGGAGAAAAGGAACAATCAGAAAAATCTGAACGAGCGCAAATGCAGACTGGAGCGATACCATGACATGGAAACAAGACACAAGAGGAGTAATCCCATTTACAGCCTGAACGATTAAACCCCTAGCTAAGTGAAGTGTCATTAACAGGAGCATATCAAGGTGAGTTTAACAGGAGGTTTTCTCTGTGTTCACAAGCAATGCAATCTAGGACTCTGGGTTGTAATCCAAGCTCTGTAACTGTTTGCTTGGGCCCCCAAAGTCTGTGCAATGTGTTGGAAATAATTATGAAAACGTGTTGGTGTACTTTGGTTTTAATATGAGCAATTACGATTTGTCGCCAGGTAAACAGCTCTTGGCTGATAGACACAAAACTCGGTGCTTTAATGCTCAGGGGCAAGTCAGATGAAACATGCTTCTGCACAACAGCAGCTGGGCTTCGCAGCTCTTGTACAGCCCCGCTTAGAAAACAAAAGTTACTGGTTTTAGTGCTTTGCTCGTGGTCAATTTGTCACCTTAAAAACATGTTCTGCAGAGTTTTACCATGATTAGAGAATGCAATGCGCACACAAAAATAATGAGAACAACTGGAGCCATGCGCAAGCTGAACTTTGTTCACGCCACTAGTGACAGCTGATGAAATTGCTGGAGTTTCTGCTCATTAAGGAGTTATTGCTGCAATTAGGGCCCTGACCTGTTCCCATTACAACTAGTGAGAACATTGCTGCTGACTAATGGAGAAGCATTGGGCCTGCAACGTTTACGTGCTGGACTTGAGACTTTTGAGAGAGAGAAGGAAAGACAAGGCACCGCCAGCCTCAGAACTGGACTGCTCTGCACGGTCCTGCATCTGCACTGACGGTTATGCCAGGACTGCTGCAGGACTCTGCTGGTGCTTGGGTGGGATCATGGCCTGCTCTGGGAAAAGCAGAGAATTTTCTTTTTTCCCTCTTTTTTTTTTTTTAATGCTAGAAATGTTGCCAGAACAGAAGAGCTGCTAGTTAAGGAAGGGGATTCCTGGCAACACTTCAGCACTACCTCCCATCCCACCATCTTCCTACTCCTTCGCCCATCTACATACTCCTGCCCTCGGATGGCTGGGATGGGAACAACACTCCTGAGGGTGACTTCAGGGGATGCCTGAGAAAGAAGATATCTTCATATTTTCAATTTATCAGAAGAAGAGGATCCAACCAAGTCCAGGACTGAGTCCTCAGGACTGAGAAACCGAGCACAAATCAGACACTGCATCTCCTACATCCCACCCCATGCTGTACCCACAAGACAACTCTGTTACTGCTGTAGCAGGAGCTCGTTATCCCTCACATAGACCTGGGTCTCCAAGACCCAGATATGCAAGTTCCACGGTTAAACTTAACCCCTCAGAATTTCAATCAACATCACCAAGCTGTTCCCTGCAGCCTACAGATAAGAAGAGATGCTAAGGAGACATCCCTGACACATTGTAATAGCCAAATGAAAAGCACTGCCAAGAGATGAAGCTGGCAGGCTAAACTTTGGCCTTTTATCCATTAATTGTGAGCTGTTCTTTAAGATAATTCTGGTTCTGTTAGATCTAGCCTTTCAATGAATCACCACTGCTCCTGGAAGACAGAACACATAAGGTTTGGAGGTTTTTTTTAATAGCTTGGTTTTTTCTGACATGCTTTTTAACTATGTCCATTTGGATGTTTGCTTTGTTGTACATCTAAACTTTCAAGTCCAGATCACCCAATGGTACCTTGCAATCCCCAGCTTGTATAAACTCATCTAGCCACAGCAATTTAGGAGAGGCCTTCCCACCAGTACCTGCTGAGATCTTGCCTATTATTGCCCTTTAGAAAGAGAGCGACACTAGATTTGTAAGCAGTTTCATAATGATATATTTTGGCATTTACCTCTTGCTTACTTTCACCAGGCATCAGCTCCCCATCTTGACAGAGTTGGGCAAAAGTTATGTCCCATGAGGATACCAAGGGCCAAATACTCCTGACATAATTTCGAAACACAAGTGACAAGCGAACAAAGCTGGCAATTCTGTGACTGGGGCTCTCAAACCACCATGTCGCCTTTTCTCCTGCAACCATACATTTAGCAAATGCAGCGTGCAAGGAGGCTATGATACCCTTCTTCAAGTCCCATTGTATGTTTACCTTCTATGACCAAGCTTTCTTTGGTCTACTGGTGCCTTAATTTGTGTTATAAAATCTTTTGAGTTTGGGAGAATTGATTTCATTAAAAGCTACCTCCAACTCCAAGAAAGGCAGTAAAATCTACTGGTGATTGAATTGCCTCATCTGTCCACTAAGACCTACTGCAGGAAAAACCCAAAGATCATTTAATCTCGGCATATATTACTTTTTAGTAATGGTATGGCAGCTGAAGTCAAGCAGTGTAACCATTCCAGTGAATCCAGTCTGTTGGGCCAAAGCATCCACGACTCCATCTCTGTGCTGAAAAAATCTTGCGCAGAGTCAGCATCTCACAGCTCGCTCTCTCCCTCTTTCACTGCACCTGGGCTCTGTTTTCACATTCTTGGATGGTCTTTGTGCCCTATGATGTCTCCAATCCCATATAGTATACGGGTACTACAGAGAGGGATGCAAGGGGGCTCCAAGCACTGTGCCTTGTAGGATAATTTCCTGAGCTTTCAGAGCTTGGTGGGGACATTCCTAAACAGAGGTGCTTATCTCAGACTGATCCTCTGTAGCCCCGTGGCATGGCACAGCACAATGTCTGTAATGTCAGGAAAAGGCAGCGCTGCACCGAGATCTGCTTCCAGACACCATTTTCAACTCAAATGTACTGGAATGACATTTATCTCCCTGAATGTCATGAAGAAACTCATTATCCCGCCTTAACAATGAGAACGACAGGAAGAGACTTTCTATATTTATACTATTATTATTCTTTATTCCCAAGCTATGCAGTTAAGAGCTGGGTATGGACATGCAGAGGCAGGACAGGCAGAAAGCCAGACTGCATAGCAGGGAGTGCTTTGGTGGGTTTTTTCCTTTATGAAAGAGTGGTCAAAATGTGGCCATGTTTTCTGGTAGATACCATGGCAAGGGAGAGCTCTGAACAGGGAACAGCAGAAGGATGCTGAATTGGCCCCATGGATTCACTTAAGAGCTCTTCCCTGGGGTGAAACGCACAACAGAAAACATCAAAGTCTTTAGATAAACGAGTAACAGGCAGGTAACATCATCATGAACTGACCAGATGTAAGAGCTGAGCTCTCCGTATTGACTGAGAGGAAAGGTTAGGATTGGAGATGGGCTGAAAAATGCACTGAAGGTGAAAGCAGACAGGTTATGCTTGACGCCATAGAGAAGGGAATCCAGAGAAAGGAGGCAAAGTGATATGAGCAGCACATTGGGCTAGGAAATGGTGGCATCTGCAGCTGACTTGTGAACGGGCAAGCGCCTGAATTTGCTCAGGCCAGAAAACAAAAGTTGCAGCAACTAAGACAGAAGTTTCAATTGTGCAGGTAGAGAATAAAGGACGTAGAGGGCAGCTGATGGCTCTATAAACTTAGACAGATCTCTCATTCCCTTCTACTCCACTAATCCTCCTCCCTCTCTCATATGCATGCATGTATGCTTGTACATAATACACAAAGCTATTATGTGATATTAAGATTGTCTTTAACACAACACCGCGTCCTTACTCAGCAAAAATTAAGCACACATTCAACTTCAGCTGCTTAAATTCCCCACTACGTAAGAATAGACTGGAACAGTCCTGAATTTCAGTCCGTAAGGTTGGCACGCCTTTCCGCTAGCACCTATGCCATAACTCTTGATTACTGCATCTCACGTTCCCTGTCCTGGAGAGCTTAAAGTGCAAATATAATTCATTCATTTCCAAAGCACAGTTTTAAGTGTTCTGTGATAATAATTAATCATCAAGTTATTACGAAAGTCATTCAAAAGAATTAGTGACATTAAACTAAATCGTCACTATCCCTGTTGTTCACAATGATGCAGCCTTTGTTATAGCCTCTACAACAGGGAAATTAATCCCCTCTAGAGGACAATAGCCTCTCTTGTGAAAGCCTCTGTAAATATATTTGTTCAAAGACAATTGCCAGCTAATGATCTACTGGCCTGTGGAGCGGTGTATTGGTCTGATTCTCAAGCCAACTTGTCACGCCAGCTGGGAGGCCAATTCTTTTCTCCTGGGGTTGCTAGAACCACAGGGCTCACCTGGGAGCTCAGTGGTAGGTGTCCGAGCAACTTCTCATAGCACAACAAGCAAGGAACCAACCATTGATTGTTGCTGTCAAGAGACTCAGTCACTAATATGAAAGTTGGCAGATAGAGGGTCCAGACAGCACTCAGGCACTCAGACAGCAGGAAAAGAGCTGGTGCAATGCAGTGATGATATGTCACACAGTATGGTCCCCAGCACTGGCTGTGCCAGCACTCCTGGCACACCACGGCCTCGTCACACAGGGAGAACATGGTTGTTCAGGTCTTGGGATGCAAGGGGACATCCTGACCTGGTCAACAGGAGGGAACACTCAAAATTTGGTGGATGATACCAAACTGGAGGGAGTAGTCAACACACTGGAGTGCTGGGCTGCTATTCAGAGGGACCACAACAGGCTGGAGAAATTGGCTGATGTAAACTTCGCGCAGTTCAGGGATGGAAAATGCAAAATCCTGTATTGGGGATGGAATAAACCCTGGCAGTACAGGCTGGGCATTGATGGGGTGGAAAACATTTCTACAGAAGAGGACCTTAAGGCCTGGAGCACAGGACATGCAGGAAGATGCTGAGATAAATGGGTTTGTACAGCCTTGAGAAGAAAAGACGAAGAGTGATCTTAGTGCCGTCTACAACGATGTAAAGGAAAGGTGAAGAGAAGATGGGGCCAAGCTCTTCTTTGAGATGTGCAGTGATAGGGTAAGGGAAAATGAACACAAGTTGCAGTAATGGAAAACCTGAGTAGATATTAGGGAAAAAACTGTCACCATGAGGGTGGTTGAACACTAGAACAAGGACCCAGAGAAGCAAGGGAACCTTGAAGACATTCAAAGCTCAACACAACAAGGCCCAGAGTAGCAAGCTGTGTTACTTGCAAACCTGATCAAACTTTGACACTGGTCTTGATTTGATCAGGGTGTTTGCTCAGGTGATCTCCAGAGGTCCCTTCCAACCGAAGTTATTCTCTGATTTTATCTTCTAAATCAGCCCAATTCCATTTCAGATATTCCCCAAATTTCTCCTATTTCCTATACATCTGTGCATATAGCTATAGGCAGATGGTAGACAGACAGGCATTAGAGGAACTCAACCTTTAAGAAAGTTCCCAACGAAGAATTCATTATGACACTTTGCTGAACACTTAAAGAAAAAAAGAAGACAGCAGAAACACAGGAACTTCAGAATATTTAAAAAGAAATCTGAATGAAAGTGGGGGCGACAATTAGAATAAAACGCTGCTTATATTCAAAGATTGAAATCATCTGTTTGAAATTTCAAACTGGCTTTCAAAAGTTCATAATGAAATGGAAGAGATGATAGATGCCCTCAGCTGACAAGGGAAATCATATCAGCTCTTGATCTCCGTACACATGCAATCCAGTTATTCAGAATTCTACTTTTTTTGTGTAGTTTGAAATAAAGCTATTGTAATGCTTCCCATTTCTTTATTGCAAATCAGGACCGAAATATTTAATTGCTAAAGTTCAGAAATTCTAAAAATCCCTATCAAGCAGGATTCAACATATGCTGTATCACTCAATAGAATAGTTGGCAAGTACATTGCAAAAAGATGCTAGACTTTACTGGGTATTTATTTTGGTGGTGACAACTAGATCTGGAAATCCCAGAGGAAAACTGTACAGTGATTTACAAGATCCTGCCTACATATTTTCCACCGTGAAAAGCAGCAGCCTGCTTAAATAGCTTTGCCAGGCTTTGGTGGAAGCTCCTCCTGGACCCTCATGTTTCACAGGAGAAAAGTAAAAAGTCTTCTTTTGAGCCCTGTTTTCCTGGGGAAGAAATCGTGTGCAAAAACTCAGATGCACCAAGTCAGACAGCGGGTCTTTGCTGGATTCTTGACCTCAGCTCCTACACCAAGACCTCTGGGACCAAGCAACTCTCAACTAATTACCAGCCAACTGAACCGGTTTCCTGGCAGATGCGGTGTCAAAAAGGCATTACCCTCTCCAATTCATCAAAGTGGAAAACAGGTGACTGTCTTCTGAGACCAAAAGGAGAAGTACAGGCTGTCCGCAATACAATTCATGTCAGGCGCTTGATTAGGGTACCACCGGAATACCATGTGCTTGTGGACCCCAGAGAACGGGTGTATTTGGCTGACAGTGGTATGTAACCATTTCGGAAGGTACTTACCATCAAGAGGTTGCAAGCTAGCTACTAACACTCTAGCACTCTCCAGGAAATCTGGGAGAGATAAAGCTCTAGAAGAAAATGTCCCCAACCCGTGCACCAGATATTTGCTGCATCTTTTGCCTGTGCCCTCCTTAGCATTCTATTTTGGGGCTGGAGTGCAGCTTTGAAGCCAGTGTCTGCTCAGCTCCACTTAAGAGCTCATTCTACTTAAAAATATTTGGTCCCAGGGACCAGACCAAACCTACTGCAAAACAAAGTTCCTGGACCACGCAGTGTTATTGTCAGGGCCTCAATACCAATTGCTTTGATCTACAGTCTCCAATTGCACTTGCTAATATAGACACAGCTGCTGATAAATTCTTACATGTCTCTTTAACCAGCTCATAGCTGGCCATTTCCTAACACCGCATTTGGTCTACCTGAACTGAGCTCCCAGAGCTGTCATCTGCCATGCAGTATCCCGTACAGCCCGAGGGCAGTCAAGTTGCCTTCCTGTATTTGCGCTTTCAAACTAACAGAATTGGTCTTGCAAGAAGCTGTGCTGCAGACACCGCTGCAGTATAAAACTTCACTGCAGCTTGCAGAGTTTTACCAAAGGTTGCGTCATGCTTAAAACACTGTAAGCAACTGCAAAAACCCACACGTCCTGCCCATTTCCAGCTACGGCTGCAATACAGCAGCTCAGATGCTCCGGTTCCTTTTTGTTACTGTTTACCAACTATATTATCACACAACGGTGTCCTGCACAAAACAGATGAGCTCTTTTACCTCTGAGTGCTGATGCAGTAGCGGGCCTCCCGATTACCGACGTTGCGAACCAGCAGAGTTTTCTGGGTGCCGTACTTGACTGGACAGACGGAGAAGTTCAGCTGGTCAGGGAAGTCCAGGATAGCTCGGGCACCTATAGCTCGGATTGGCACAATAAACTTTTCCCTTTCTGTGATGCAGGTGAGCTGGTGGAAGTAATCCTGAGGGGAAAGAAACAATCGCAGCACAGTGCATTTAGTACCGTCCCCATGGCAGAAGAAAACCTGATGTTTTTTATGACTAACAGTAGCATTCAATAATGTAATAGTACTTTTTACCTTAATGACCTTTCATTCCAGTAGCAATACTTGGACAGGGCTGTTAACTCGCAAAGAAGAAACAACCTCATTGATTCACCTGCTTTCGCAGCAAGCTGGCAGAACCAGACAAAATTATCTGATACTTTGATTCTTAGGCACCAAAATAGAGTAATTTTACGTCAGGGATTACAGCAGTAACAAGAACCTGCTTCAATCACCACTGCAGATGACTAAAGGCACCACTAAGAAGCCGGTTGCGCCACAGCACTAACTTCAGTCCCAGCAATGCAGCGACCTTGTTGAAGCTTGGCAGGGGATGCTCAGGTACATTTTCAAACAGACTTCACCACATGCACGATCGACAGTCAGTCTTTGGTGAAATACTTAACAAGCTGGACACGATAATTGTTTTAACGTCAGGTGAGCGTAGGGTACGTGTGTACTTCCCACAGCATTATAGGGACAAGGCCGGGGACACACACCCCCTTAAAAAGCTATCTGATCCACCTCCCCACCCCAGAACTGGCTCAGCTCTATACCCAAACTATTCTTGGGAGATGTTTGACAAGTACTTAAAAGCACTAACAATTCCACCCCTGCCCTCAGCAGCCTATTCCAGCTCTACCCTAGACTTAAAGAGAGTTCTTCCTGCGTCTTATATCAAATTTCCCTTTACATCTCCTCCTAGCCTCAGGGGATGCGGGCGATAGCTTTGCTTTCTCTCTGCTGCATATTCTGGCATGGTTGATGCCTTAATCACGTCCCTCTTGTAAGGTCTCTAGAATAAATGACTTGGTGCCTTGTTAGCATGCCTACCTGAGGCAGGTGGTATCAGGGGCTGCAAATGGCAGACTCAGACATCCCTACCAGAGCAAACTCAAGTGTGCTATTCCTAATCATTGGCTTGTTCAGAAAAGAGCCAGACAGTCCCCCCGAGCTGTCTGGCATTTAGCAGTAGGAAGGCGAATCAAGCCACCAAAATCATTTTACTGTGGGGTTGAGCCGATCAATCTCCAGATATACGGTGTGGCACCACTGTGCTGGAAGTATTGCCTTGCCCCCGCTGAAATCAGTGGTAAAACTGTTGCAGTAGGGCCAGGAGCCATTACCTCCAGCAGCTCTCTTATTGACAAGTTGATAAAAGCCCTGCCTCTTATCACTCACTTGCTGTCCTGATCTTTTTTCCTCGGTGCTTTTAACTCGTTTGATATTTTTTTATAATTGTTGAAGCAGGAAGCAAACAATTTGATTTAGCAATTGCACGCAGCAGCAAACTCCCTTAACCAGAACAGATTCAGATTCCTCCGTACTCGGGATTTGCCGCTCCCGCAGCCATCCCCTCCGAGCCTGGAAGGGACCTAAGGCAGCCAGACGAGGCACAGACACACAGCTATTGCTTTAACACAACAACTAACACCCGGTGCCTACCAACCACCTGCTCAGCTGGGGTTTAAGGTTGCAGTAACAGATGCTGTCACATCTAAGATGAAAAAAGAATGAAGGAGGATTTTTTTTTTCTAGACATCTCAAATATTCACACTGGAAATTGCAGAAAGGCTTTTGCTTCTCATATTTGGAAGGTAAAATACCAGGAAGGGAACTGCAGCAAATGACCTACGGAATCGAGTATCACATTTCAGGAGAGCATTTCATCTTCAGCAAGTCTTTCCGAATTAGCAATTTTGTAGTCCATCTTGCAGCCTAAGCCCTCTAAAATAAAAGCTATGGGCAGCCCATGTGAATTTTAAGCACCTATTATCTGGGTACTACACATCCTGGATGGTTTAGATCCTCAGAAACTGCATTAGCAAATGAAGGCAGCTATTTAGGGTTTTTTGTTATTTTGGCCACACTACTGTAACAAAGGCATTGTAAATCCAATTGAAAGCTGCATGCCTTATTAAGTCTTGGCATGCTGTATTTACTTATCTCTCCCTTCCAGATGCCAGGTAGACAGAGGAAGATGCAAGGAGTTCAGATCAGCACGGCGATAAAGAAAAAAGAAACTTCAACAATAGGAGGTATTTGAGAGAAGTAGAAGGAAATAATTTTCAAGTCATTGTCATTGCTAAGGAGCGAGTGGATCAACAGCAATATAAATAAGAGCCCAAGGAATAAATCCCCCCCTCAAAAGCAAGCACAGGCAGCCTTCCCAGCTCCATTGCCGGTGAGGGGCACTGGGACCACTTGCACAGCAACACATGGGGAAAGGGACTTCTCCAGGCATGTGAAGGCAAGGCTAAAGCAACAAGGATTTGGCCTCGCAGAGACAACCATGACCTTTGAGAGAGAAAGCTGCCTCCTGCCATTCATGCACACGCATGTTGTGTGCTGAGCCCCTTCTCCAGGGACGCCCGGGGATGTTGCATCCTCTACAAGGCTTGACTCAAAGCACTTCAGCGTGTGCTGACCCTTCAACCACGCTCTAGGACCCCAAAGTGGGACCTTGCATCAAAGTTGAATGTTGTGTCAGGCCAAACGGGGGGAAACCCAAGGAAAGAGGGGTGCCTGAAGAAGCTGGCTGCTCATGCTGCTGTGAACCCATGGTCCCTTAAGCTTTTGAAGGCTGAATCACCCTCCCCTGGGAGAAGATAAAGGCTGTAATTCTCCACTGCAGTACTGCCCTGCATTACCAGCTCTGCTATGCACTTAGTCACAATCTAGGGGTACAGTTGAAACCAGTTTAAAATCTTGTTTTACTTTGCCACAGCAAGCCCTTGGCAGGCTGTTTAAAACCAGGTTTCTATATAACCATGCCTGGGTGAGAGAGGTTGCATCACTTCTGGCTTTAAAGATTGTTGTGCTTAGATGCAGCTTCAGGCTATAGATTATCAAGAAAATACAACTTCATCCTTCATACAACTCTGCTCTCAATTTCAGGGAAAATACAGTTCGTTGTACGATGCTTCCTCTTCTCCTATTCCCCTTTGATAAGCAGTAAGTTACAAGCTCTGGCCTGCAAAGCATCACCACTGGCATTTGAATTAGCACCCACTGAAATTAAAGCAACTGCTTGTATCAAAGGTGTCATTTCAGGCTCTTTTCAAACTCTAGCTAACATTAATTACTGTCACAGTGATATCAACCTTAGCTGCCCAGTACGCCAGCATACTCGGATGTCAGTTTTACTGTATAACCAATCCTAAATACTTCACTGAATTCCTTGCAGCAGGCAACTGCAAAGGAAAGATCCTTGTAGCATGAGGTAACATAGTAAAGTCAAACAGGGGAAACTCCCTGCTGAAACCATGTCCACATACAGGGCAACCAGGCGATCAGGCCCAGTCAGCATGAGTTTATGAAAGGCAGGTCTTGCTTGACCAACCTGATCTCCTTCTATGACAAGGTGACCCGCTTGATGGATGAGGGAAAGGCTGTGGATGTGGTCTACCTGGACTTTAGCAAAGCCTTTGACACCGTTTCCCACAGCATTCTCCTGGAGAAACCGGCTGCTCATGGCTTGGACAGGCATACTCTTTGCTGGGTAAAAAACTGGCTGGACAGCCAGGCCCAGAGAGTTGTGGTGAATGGAGTTCAATCCAGCTGGCGGCTGGTCACGAGCGGCGTTCCCCAGGGCTCAATTTTGGGGCCAGTTCTGTTTAATATCTTTATTAATGATCTGGATGAGGGGATCGAGTGCACCCTCAGTAAGTTTGCAGATGACACCAAGTTGGGCGGCAGTGTTGATCTGCTCGAGGGTAGGAAGGCTCTGCAGAGGGACCTGGACAGGCTGGATCGATGGGCCCAGGCCAACTGTATGAGCTTCAACAAGGCCAAGTGCCGGGTCCTGCACTTTGGCCACAACAACCCCATGCAGCGCTACAGGCTTGGGGAAGAGTGGCTGGAAAGCTGCCTGGCG